AAATCAAATAGAGGATAAACATCTTATGTTAAAATAAAAAATCTAAAATATAATTAAGATAATTATCGAGTTCTAAAAAAATAATTAATTATATTGTTTAATAATATAATTTAAAAAAAAATAATTAATTATTTTGTTAGAATTTAATGATTATTCTAATTATATTTTAGATTTTTTATATTTTAAAATAAGATTTTTATCTTATATTTGATTATGTTTATCCACAGTTACTTACACGAATTCAAATATGAAACTTTAATAAACGCACAATTTACTTGTAATCTTGAATTTTAAATAATATGCATTAATAAAAAATATTTCATGCATAAAAAATAAATTTTAAAAGTTTTTGTCAAATGCTTTATAATATAGTATAAATATAGATTATTGTTAAATAAAATATATAAATATAATTTTAATTAAATTACTTAATAGAAAAGGAAAATATGAGAGAAAAAAAATGCTGGCTATGGGGTTCGAACCCATGCGCACTTATGTGCAGAAGATCTTAAGTCTTCCCCCTTAACCACTCGGGCAAACCAGCTATTTGTGAATATTCTCTCAATTATAGTAATATCAATCGTTAATTATTAGGTAAATTCCTTTTCTTATAAATATATATGATCTGATTCATAAATTTATCCTCTCTCCCAAATTTCTTTTTGCTGCTCATCGCGGTTGAAGAACAAGCGATTCTGGTAAACCCTAACCCTAGTTGATACAGGTAGAAATAATCAACTCCAATTCAGGATGGCGGAGCACTTGGCGTCGATTTTCGGTACAGAAAAGGACAGAGTGAACTGTCCGTTCTACTTCAAGATCGGAGCTTGTCGGCATGGAGACAGATGCTCCAGGCTCCACACCAAGCCCAGCATCAGCCCTACCCTATTACTTTCCAACATGTACCAGCGTCCTGATTCGATTACTCCAGGTGTCGATCCTCAGGGTCAACCCCTCGATCCTCGCAAAATCCAAGATCACTTCGAGGTGTTTAACCCTAATTCCTTTGTTTTATATCAAGTCTGATAGAAATCTTGGATTTGTTATGTGTTTAGTGGGTTGGTTTTTAACTTTTGTTCTAGTTGCGATATCTGTTTACTTCTATAGTTCTGTGTCTTCGTTTATGAGTTAGTTAGATGGACGCACAAATGGTGTTGACTACATATGCATATTTGGAGGTTAAGGTGAAAGATTCAATACATTAGTTGATGTATGCGAATAGACAAGATTTAGTGCAAGGACGATGTTGACTGTTGTTAACCACTGATCATGATCCAACCAATTTTTCTCATATCATAATAATCCATCTTTTCTTGAAGAATCATATTTTCCCCTCACACCTACTTGCGTTCCTCACATGAAGAATTTGGGCAACTTATAAGTGTATAATGGCATGGGGTTTTATTGCAACCTCCTCTTTTGTCTCTGCAGTGGCCAACTAGTGGAATAATAATTTAAAATCTCTACTGCACATTGCATACTTGATTTTTTTCCTATATTTTGTAATGAATTAAGTATAATTTCAGTAATGTGCTTCCTCACTTTAGCTTTAATGTACAAGTGCAGGACTTTTATGAAGATTTATTTGAAGAGCTGAGCAAGTATGGGGAGATTGAAAGTCTAAACATATGTGATAATTTGGCTGACCACATGGTATGTTATTACTTGACATAATGTTAGTCTATCTTTTTGCTATTTCAGATTCATGTAATGTTCTTTTTATGGCAGGTGGGGAATGTGTACGTTCAGTTTAGGGAAGAAGAACATGCTGCAAATGCTCTTCAGAATCTGAGTGGAAGGTTTTATGCAGGTACACATGTTTCTCTAGTGACTATTATAATTATATGCTTCGAGTTTCTCTTAGTGCATGGGGATTAATGCAGTCACAACTCATATATAAGAAGAGCATATTTGTTTTTTAAAAAGATATGCGCCCTATTTTAGTATGAATATCATGTTGTAATGTGACTTCTCTTTTTATTGCAAATTATATATATTTGCAGGGGTGCATTTTTTTTTACCACACATGGTAGTCTATGCATTTAAGATGGTGTCCTTGCTATTTCGCTTTTCTTTTCTTTATGTCCGAATTACTCCCGTTCCTAAAAACTAGAATCCCTCTTTTTTCCGATCCAGTCCCTCCACCACCGCGAACCCCAGTTAGATTCAGGCATGCTACGAGACAAAAGGGGGGTTAAAGACCACTCAATAAAAAAATATCTTAAAGAAACGTCATGCTGTAGCAAACTAGCAATTGTTAACCATGAGATGTTAGCAGCTTCTGATCAAAAATCTAATTCCCATCTATAGACTTCTAACGAAATTTGCTAATTTACTCTGTTGATTTCCACTTGAGGAGCACCTTTCTTTCTAGTCTACAAAGAAAAGAAAAGCATAACTTTACACAGAGCTTTCTGAAATGTGAGTTCAGTATGTTGGGCGGAACACAATTGCATGCTGCAAATGAATATTGGCTACTGAGTGGACGGTGTCTTATTGCGGGCCTTCGGTTTTTATTTTACTAATTTAATTCTTCAGAGATGGAATAGACCCTCATTCACTGCATATGTATATTTTGGCTTTGTTGTCTTGTTTCTTTGTTTATTCCATAATTAATGGAGATTTGTGTGTGGGGTTTATTGGCTATGACTTATGAGCAGTTTCTCACAATGCAGTTTGGTTGTAAAGCAAATGTTTCAAAATCATTAATGAATCAAAATCACGTCTCATCAGTATCACTGATCCACTCTCACAACCTCACATATAGGCTACTTGAACCATGTCATGCAGTTCTTTAAGATTGTATAAAGGTATTTTACAACAAAGTTCGTATCAAACTATTGGTGATTAAGGGTTTTTATGTGCGTATTGTGATGACGATACGTGTAACATTTTTTTCTCGTCTCCTCTTAGCCTCTTGGTGGTGAAAAGCAACAAGAGGTGATTTTACACCTGGCTATATTGGTTAGTGCTACTTTTTTCACTATAGCCGTTTTTAAGGTCTTTATACTGACTCTTCTCAATCAATATACTTGGCTATACTTGGCAGTTCAATATGTGGCCATCTAGGTTATGTTTATTAGCCCTAGAATTATGATATATAGACCAAGATATTGAACCAACCGTTGTCTCTTTCCATCCATAGGAAGGGCTCACATAATTTTTTTGACGTTGCCGGTGCTTATAAGATAGGTTAAACTGTAATATTTTCTTATACACGCCCATTGGAGTTCTTTTTTTTATTTGCTTTGTGTGTGACTAAGTGATGTACCATGTCATAACAAATGTTAATAGAATGGGTAGAAAGAACAAAGAACTGTGAAATAAGAGAGATAGTGCCTGCCCCCAAGTGGATCAGCCATGAGATCCGACCACACATATATTATCTAGTGACAAATCACTCTATTCTACTGGATGGAGCTCACATAAATTACAAGGCCGAGTAGATACTTTAATCTAATTGCATTACATAAAAGAGAACTAAATAGTTATAGGCTATAGCTAAAATGGTATCTAAAATGATTAAGAAGTTTATGACAATTAGGATACAGTTTTTAGAAGTTAATAAGCTAAGTACTTTTCTATTAACAACCAGAATAGCTATCCTAAATAGTTACTATTACTAACAAAAAATACTAGAATTTTATTTTCTTGGTACTCCTAATGAGTGAGTAGTTTCAAATTTTATGATTAAATTATTATACATGTAATTTTTAAATATAATTTCTCTGAAAGACCTTTTCTATCTCATTGCTTCTTTTGTCTTCATCCACATCCTTATGTCATAGTACAAGATCCCTCATACCCATTTAAAAAGTAGCTATTTGGCTCATGTTAGTCATCCCTTTAGTGGTTTTACATATCAAGGAAACTACTGGATTTTCTAATGTGACTATTTGTGTGCCTATATGCTTAATTATCAAAAGAGTTGTTATTGTTTCATTAATAAGAACAGGAAGACCCACAAAATGAAAGTAATCTTATCTTTCCATAGGTTGTTACATATGAAGAGATTAGCTAAGCATGAATGCTAAAACTGTTGGAAGCATAGGAATTTTTGTTCAAAAAACAGTCTGACAAAAGGACATTTGCCATGAGAATCATAATGATAGTTTCAAGATGTCTATTTTTTTGGAGTGATACAAATGCAATCAAGCTGCTGCATGTGCTTGTTAATTGTCTAGCTCTTGATAACCATTTAGTCAAGTGAGTTATCTCTATATTGGCTGTAGTCTGTAGCATAGCAGCTGTTTTAGGGACTTGTGTAGGTGCATCCTTGAAGGTGAATTATTTGAAGAGTATAGTTGTGTCGGACTTGCTATAATTTGAACAGACATGTTGCAATTTGTTTCAGAGCGAAGGTGTTATGGCTTGCAGGATGAAGTGACTACTTTAAATTTATACACAATGCAAGCTACTTATATAATATATACATGCAAAATTTTGGGGATATGTTTCTGTGGCTGTTTATATGGAGTTCTGGATCTAGAAGTTGGAGAAAGGATAGAAAAGTAACTTCTTGAGTGTGACCTGGATCCCAATGCATCATACACCGATGTTGCTTAATACCTTTATATGTCACTGCCTTCATCTTTGTCTATCCTTATATCATTTCAACGTCTTCAACAAAATTTATCATGACCATTGACCAATGATCTCATCACCACCATACAAATTTGAAATTTAAAAATGTCAACACCATTGGTGGATAGATGATCATCTATATAAACAAGCCAAACCGTATATCCCACCCAAAGGTGGAGTTGGGGGTGTGTATGCAAACCCGACCTCCACCCCAGATGTATCTATTATCGCACATTAAGCAAAAACTTCTCACAATCTTTTGTCCTTTGATTGATTTTATTACACTTTGGAATTGGTTTTGAACGTATATAAATAGACTTGTTAGATATTCATTATAAAACCCACTATGTTGTCAACTCTTGTGAAGATCATTGATGTAGTTTTCTTGTGACTTAACATGTTTCTTTGTAGGCAAAACCAATTAAAGTCATTAGAGTGCCACCACAATTGTGGATTGTAGTTTCTTGTAGACTAATTCTAAAGGATTCCAATTTGGTAGCTTGACAATCATTGTATTGATTGATATATGGTGCACTTGATTCCAGGAAACTTCTTTCTACTAGTTGATTCTTATGTCATCCCTATCTTATGGCATGCTATGCATCTTGACCGTTCCATATTCTGCCTGCCACCATTCTAAGTGATTGCTGCACAACTGTGCTTAATATTTGAATTTTGGTAATGTATAATGCCATTTAGGATGTTTCAAATCTTGTTTCTAATGTAAATGCCATTCGTGTTGATATCTTTGTATAATATTAAAATTCATTACATGAATACTTACTTCCTGTAGCATCTAGGTTTGGCCCCTTCTATTTCTTTAGTTGTTATCTTCTTCGTTAGGGTCAAATTTTGAGTCGTCATTTATAATTTTTAATCATAGTTGATCGTGTTTATTTATCATCATAATATCTATATCTTCAGGTCGCCCCATCATTGTGGACTTCTCACCAGTGACGGATTTTCGGGAAGCTACATGTCGACAGTATGAAGAAAATGTATGCAATCGTGGTGGTTACTGCAACTTCATGCATTTAAAAAAGATAAGCAGGTCAGTTATACCCTGTTTTATTTTTGAGTTTTACTCCCTCTGTCACATGATAAATGTCCACAATAAACAATGGGGAGTTTTAAAAATATGTAATGTAATAGCCCTAATTTTCAGCCAGGTATATAGATATATACATATCTTTATCATAAGTTCTTATACATATCTTTATCATAATTTCTTATAAAGTTAAGTTGTTTCGAAAGGCTCTTAATATAAGAACTAAAACAAGGTACTAACATCTTTTAGTGAAAAAAATATTAATTATAGAGATAAATAAGTAAGCAAGCACACAAGTAGCTTACAAAGCTACTTACCGATACTGCGATACACACATAAGTAGCTTACTAAGCTACTTATAAACACACAACATGAGCCACAAAAATCTTATGACAAAGCAAGCCTAGAGAATGAATTGTAAGAGGAAAAAAGTTTGTGGCAACCCTAAAAGCATTACAAGGCAAGTCTAAGAAAGAAGATAAGAATAAACAAGCTATGCTGTTATAGCGGTGAAAATACAAAATTGCGGTCGGGACCGATATTTGAAATAGCGGTGCAATAGCGGTCCAAAAATAGCGGTTCATATAATATTTCTTAGAATTATATATATATATATATATATATACATATATATATATATAATATGGCTACATAAACATATCATTTGCAAAATAGGAAATATGTTCATAAACGAGCTAATCACAAGCAATAGGTTCAACATCTAAGTCAGCATCATCTGATACGTTCACTTCTTCGTTTAGGCTAGCTTCCCACTCTTCCCCTTCTTCTTTATCTCCAACGTGATCATCATCATCATCATCCCTATAACGCTCCCTTCTACTTCTTGTACTTGGCTCAACTTGTTCATTACCTCCCATTGCTTCTCGTACTTGTGACCAAAGGAGGCCATCTTTTGCATCCACAAACTTTTGCAGCTCAACGTCGGTTGTAACCACCCAATCATCATTTTCTTCCACATCTCTCAAGAAAATAGGATCTGAAGATTTGTTATCACTAAGAGATTTGTAGCACCTCTCAAGTCTTTTGTTATATTGAATGAATACAAGATCATTCAACTTCTTTTGCAAAAGACAGTTTCTCTTCTTAGAGTGCAACTGAAATGATAATTGATAAATTTAAAAATCATTACTTGAATTAAAGTTGCATTTGAGCTAATACAATTTCCATAACCAAGAAAACTTACATGATCAAATGCACTCCAATTCTGCTCACCAGGAGAAGCGCTACAAGTTTGGCTTAGAACACTAATCACAAATTGTTGGAGCACAGGTGTGTCAATGTCATAAGAACGCCACCATACATCTACATTTTATAGGTATATTAATAAAAAACACATACATGAACTTTTGAATATGTATGTATATATCTATATATATATATAATATTATATTGCTTATCATACTTATGTGGTGCAACTTTAGCTATACGCCTTATGGCAGCCATAGATCCAAATTGCCTTGATGACTCAACATATTGATTAGGTTCCATCCTTAAAGTATCATTTCTTTCTTCATCACGCATAAGTCGGTCAATTGCCTCATATAGTTTCGTCTTAATGTATCTATTATTCTTAACTTCTGAATCTTGTGCATAATAAATGGCGGGGCTGAGGTAATATCCGACTACAATTGTACTAAAAGTTGATACCAATAATTGTATTAACTTTAAAATTAAATAAAACATAACGATGTTTTATATATTATACCTGCATGCAAAGGATGATGAAGTTGGTCACTCTAACGTGCTTGAATCATAGACCACACTCTAGTGATCGATCTCTCGTAAGTAGTGCTGGTCAAGTTCTTCATTTGATCTTTTGCTCTTTCCATAACATCGTATATATAACCCATACACTGCTTCTCCGTGTCAACCGACCGAACCACATCAACCAATGGTGCCAATACTTGACAAGCAAGACAAATATTGTCCCATAACTCTTGCTTAGCTATTATTCTTTCAATTCTTTTCCGACGACTTTCTTGGCAAAGTCACTCTTCCTCTATTGTTCAGAAACAAATAGCACTTGGAGATGATGTCGGTTCTCATGAATGCTCTGAATGGTGTAGAATTTGTTTGCAAACCTTGTAACACAAGACCTATGTAATTCCCTATTTTTAGTGAGCCTCCGCATTATATTCAGAATCCTTTTGTGGTTATAGATATAAACCACTACCGCTCTCGCATCGGCTAACACACTTTTAATCTTCGGTATTTTCTTTTCGACATCTCCTATAAGATTCACGCCATGTGCTGCCCTTGCTGTCCAGAACATCCGAGGATGTTGTTCTTCCGAGATTTTTCCTGCAGCTTTAAAGCTGGTCCCATTATCAGTAACAAACTAGTATAAGTAAAAAAAATAATTAGTCAATACTTTAACATAATATAGAATATGTTAATACTTATAGATAGAATATTTGTCACCTAATCACCTGCACAATGTTCTCCTTTCCGACATCGTTTATAACCTCATTAATCATCTTTTCACATGCTCCGATGCATCAATTGATTTCAAAAAAATGGTTCCTTTAGGACAATTGACCAAAAAGTTTATCAAGCTTCGACCTTTTCTGTCTATCCAAAAATCAGACATAATAGTGCATTTACTCTTCTTCCAATGCGAATGAAAGGAATCCACAAACTTGTTTGTTTCCTCGAGTACATCCTGCAACAAAGTGACACGAATGTTGTGATAACTCGCTGCCGACATGCCTACCAATGATAGGAATAAAGTTAGTAATTAGTCATTTATAAACTTTTGAAATATATTCAAAATTTGAAATGGTAATTACCTCTTCCATACTCTCCAACGACATTTATGAACTTTTGAAAGTTCTCGTCGTGCACGACATTGAAGGGAAACCCAACCGAATGTGCCCAAACCGCAAATCTCTTTTCAAGCGGCCATCTTTAACTTCTTCCTGATTGGGTTATTTCTATCTAAAGTGGTTTGTTTTATCTTGCCATAGCCGGGCTTCAACATTGAATCAAGAGGACCGGAAACATCACTAGCGGCATTTCGTTTCAAACTACGAGGTGGCTTGTCGGCTTGCGCTCTCCTTCCTTCAATAAATTCTATTTCATCTTGTTCTTTCCCGTCATCATCATCATCATCATCACCGTTACCATCATCTTCATTGGGTTCAACCGCGTATTGTCGAAGAATTTATACTCTTCTATTTCTTTCTTTCTTTTGCTTATCCTTTTCTTTCATCGATTCAAGAACTCTTTTCTTGATGTCATTAGTCGCATTAGGACAACCAAGATAGCTTGTGAGGTAGAGATGTAACTTCTTGCAACCAATACAAGTCCTCCCATGGGTATGAAAATATAACGTGGTTATTTGCATCGGAGACCTCAGAGTTATTTATAGCTGCATTAGGATTATTTGGTGGTTCCATTGGTTGTAATCCGGAACTATTTGTTCAGGTACTTGATTTGGAGGGTTTAAGATGAAATACGGGTCTTCATACGGTGACTCAAGTAGCCATCCATTTCCATACTCAAACAATCTCCTTCGTTCCTCACAAACATCTGTAATGGGTTGGAAATCCTTATAGAATGTATGCTAAAAAATGTTGTTCAAGTCTAGGTTTGTCTAATCTAAGGCCAAACTTAGTTCACTTGAACCAAAGGCTCTAATACCAACTTGTGACATCCCGTTCCCGGGGGTATCGCTCTTTGCCCTTGGTACAAGTGACTGAAAGAAACTTCGTATCTTAAACTTTTATTTCATTATAATAGAGTTATTACAGCAGCGGAAATGCGGAAATTTACAACTTACAATATTATAATATCTTAGAATTCCAACTCCTTGATTCCTGAGATACATACATGAATACGTAAGCCTTAAGCTTAGTGAGTAGTTATGGTTTCATGATAAAACATTCTTTCCAAATAGTTAAAATAATTCTTATAAACTTTCATGTATAAAAACATTTAATTGAGATCTCATGGTTACATATTAAGTAAACCAACTTCTCACAGGTTCTTTAACCTCGGGTCCACATAAGGCTGTCCAATAAGGTCCGTTTGCAAGACGTACCTTCTTTCTATATCTCGTATGTTGGATATTTAAATGGTTATACTTAACATGTATAAGAACTTTCATATACCACATGTGCATCCTGACATAAAAGGTGTACTTTGCCACATCATAACATAACTTTTACAAGAAGATATGACAATACTCTTTCATGCATCAAACATATATATATATATATATATATATATATGTATGTATGTATGTATGTATGTATGTATGTATGTATCCCAGTAAATCTCAGAACTTGCTATTATACCCTGCTTTGTGCTTTCTAACTCACTTCTTATTCTTTACTTATGCTTTAAGGTAGTGTTCCAAATCTTGGGATGAAAAAGAATGAGCCCTTTAAGCTTCTATTTATAGGGTGTATGACATGCTTTAAGGTACTTGTTCACTTAGCTTTTGAACTTGTAAATTTCTAAGGATATGCCACATATGTACTTGTTCATTTTTTTCTTCTTTCCTAGCCTTGCCTTGTAATGCTTTTATGGTTGCCACAAACTCTTTTCCTCTTGCAACTCATTCTTTAGGCTTGCTTTGTCATAAGATTTTTGTGGCTCATGTTGTTTGTTTATAAGTAGCTTAGTAAGCTACTTATGTGCTTATTGGTAAGTAGCTTTGTAAGCTACTTGTGTACGTGCTTACTTATTTATCTCTACAATTAATATTTTTTTCACTAAATGATGTTATTTACCTTGTTTTAGTTCTTATATTAAGGGCCTCTAGAAAGAACTTAACTTTATAAGAAATTATGATAAAGATATGTATATATCTATATACCTGGCTGAAAATTAGGGCTGTTACATGTAATTATTACACTTTTTAATCAACTAAATGATAAACTTTTTCTTATTAGTAGGGGGAGCAATGAATTTCTTCATCTCATAATTAAGGGCCTATTTAGGAACAAACTAAGATAGAAACATGGACACTTATTTTGGAATGGATGAAGTATTATTTTATCTTGTTAGTTGCTGATTCGTGCATATGGTTCTTTTAGGGAGTTGAGGAGGCAATTATTTGGGAGAAGTCGGAGAAGGAGAAGTCGAAGCAGGAGTCATAGTCCTCAGAGGCATCGTGGTTATGACGAGCGTCCACAAGGTGGTGGCCGAGGTTCAGGAAGAAGAGGAGGTGATTATGCAGATCAACGACATCATGATAGGGGCAGGAGGCCCAGAAGCAGGAGTCCTGGACGAAGAGGGGGACGTAGCAGAAGCCCTGGTGGAAAGAGAAATCGTAGTCCAGTTAGGGAAGGCAGTGCTGAGAGAAGGGCAAAAATTGAACAATGGAACAGGGAAAGGGAGCAAGCCGACTCCCGTCCAAAATCCGCCACTAATGATAACAATAGCGATGATGGTGCGGTACCAAATGGAGACCAGTATTATGATCCTCGTCAGCAGCAACATGATGATGGAGGTTATGATGACTGATCAAAGTTACTTCGTCTGGTTTGTCCCTGTTCTCTGATTTTTTTTTCTTTGTATAGATGGATCTTGCATCATTAGGTATTTGCAAAACCAAATGAAAGCAACCCATATGAGCCCAATATTATCCCACCAGGAGGTGGGGTCTGGAAGGGGTAAGATGTATACAGATCTGACCTCTACCTCAAGGAGTAGAGCGGCTGTTTACTTGAAAACCCCAGGCTTATGATCAAAAACCGTTATTGAAAAAGATAGAAAGAAATCAAGAATAAGTAAAGACCAGAAGGAAAAAAGTAGGGTTTTTTACTTTTGAAACATCCCCACTTGGAAGATATGGCTTACTGCCCACTTTCCACTGTGCAGGAGTACAGGGTACAGGTTCACTATCCAAATCTATTTTCTCCCATTTCGTCTCATTACCCAAACCAAACCAAACTACCCAGTAAATCCCACTCGAAAGTAGGGCATGCGGGGGTGTGTACACAGACCTGACCTCTACCTCAAAGTGTAGATCGACTTTTTCCGTGAAGACCACCAGTTTTCTTCTCGTTAGCCCTTTTGAGGAAATTGAAAAAAAGATTACAGGGAAGACAAGGGAAGGAAGGATCACTAGCTGCAAATCGCTTGAATGCATAAAACGTCCATCTTTTCTGTTTGTCCTTTCTAGTGGAATTTCACTTCAGAGTTTTGGAAAATAGCAATTTTATTCTTTCAGGAGTTCCCTTCCTCGGCCCTATTTTCCGTTTTCACCGAATATCGTAAAACATTTCAGCCGTCATTGCTTTTAGGCTTTCATAGTTACTACAAATGATGTTCTTTTTCTTTGGTCAAACCGAAAGTGTTCCGATAGTGCTGCTTGCTGGATCAATTTTGTAGGCCGAGTGCAACAAATAGGTTTTGGGGATCATGTGATAGAACACTCGTGAAGTTGGCCTCTCTTCTAATATTTTATCATACCTATAGGCCTCTCGGTTCTGTTTTGCAAGGATAGCTGGCCCCTGTTTCTTGCAGGCTGAAATGCCAACTTATACATGTATGTGCTTGTGTATATATATTGGGGCATAATCAAATGAGAACTCCATATATTGTGAGAGCTTTTATCTTAAGGTAGCGGAAAGCTGCAGCTTTCTTGCTAGAAGGCCTTGTTTCACATGCTTTTTTTTTTCTTCATCCAAGACTTGGATCTAAGGTGTTGATCAAGGTATATTTGTTTCACATTGTGTTCGGGTCACATTGTGAAACTTTTTAACGTGTACTTTTTGTTCTACAACCACGTAAAAAAGTTTCTCATCATGAAACAAGTACATGTGATATAAATATGTTAATCAACACCCTAAAATCATAGCTTAAGATGAATAGAGAATCATCTGAAATTACACATGATGCAACTAGTTCTCAGGGCTCATAATTTTGTGGGTTCTCAAATGACTAGCCCCCTATGTGTATATATATGTGTGTGTTTTTCATAGGATCAGATGGAAGGTGTTGCAATTCAATGGTAGGGTATCAATTCTTACCATGATATATAGAAAGGTTGTTTTTTATTTGAATTACGAATAAAGAAATGCGATCTTACGTAGTTTACAAGTTTTGCAGGTTCAGGTATCCCTGCAACAAAGGTCGGGCCTTATTTATTGCGGCTTACCATTATCTTTGTATACAGGTTGACTTTCGTCCTCATCTTCAGGGCAACTATACAGAAGGAACTGATTTGAAGATGATGTGGCCGTAAGCCGTAAGTTCTCGTTTCTTCTGATTTTCCTTTTTGTTGAGAACCCACTTAGAGACTGGAATTCGATTTATGTTCTAGTGGAATATTATCTACCCTAGTTTCTTGTGCACTGGATGGTAATTTTGCTTTTTGTATGAAACCGACTGTTGTGCACTTTGTTTGTATGTCCGTTGAAGAATGGAAGCAATGTTGTTTGTTTAAAGTGTTGTATGAAGGGGTATAGTTATTTGAGCAGGTTTCTGTGTATGGTAAAATTACATATGTATATTGACCTTCCTTTGGGTTATTTAGCTAAATGACCTTCCGACAAGTTTTTTTTTTTAATAACTCAGTGGCCTTTTGACAGGTTTGAAAATTTCTGTCTAATAGAAGAATGGCTAGAAACCTGTTTTAAGGTCACGGGTTTAAAAACAAACGATGATTTAGCTCAAATATTCCGCCTTTTTGTAAGGTTCGCATGGTAATGCCTCTATCGTTGGTTATCGTAGATGATGCTATTCTTGTTTTTGTTAATGGTTGATATGAATTGTGTGTGCAATTCAATTTAAGGCTGGATGTTGGTTAGTTTGATTGCTGTTTAAGGTGATTGAATCGGAGTTAGGTCCAAGAGGTGCATCATAGAAGCATGCCAAGGCTATCAAATAACTTGTATGGTTGAAACGTACCAAACTTAGGGACCATTTACCAGATGCTTACAACGCTAACCATTTACCTTATTAGGTAATATTCTTGGCCACCAAAATGAACTTTTATCTACCAAGACAAGTGATACCTGGTGAATACTAGCCGAGTAAAAAACCCCTTGGTCTTTACTAGTTATTCCAAAAAAAATGAGTTTTTTGTACCTCCTTATGCATGAAGATAATCAATTCGGTCGTTGTGGTCGGACTCTATTATGGAATTCTGACCGCATTCTCCATAGGACCCTCCTATCTCTTCCTTCTCTGAGCTCAGGTTATGGAAGGAGAAGAAGGAATCGAGAAGAAGGTATCAACAACAACTGGTTTTACTGGGACAACTCATAATGTTCATATCAATCTATTATGTGGTATTGGGTAGGCCTCATATGTTTCATTTCTTCTGGTACACTTTGCACAAAACAACGAACGAACTAGAAGTTAGGTTTGTGTGCATCCGATCTTTCCTAGACACCAGATCACCTTTAGCCCTATAAACTTGTACCATTCTGTAGAGAAATCAAAAATGAATCCATCCATATAAAATTCATCAAATTTTTTTAGTTATTTCCCACCATATGTCGTTTTTCCTCGAATGAACCTTATTCTACTCTGACGCCAATTGCTCTCTTGTTACTCAAGTGAAATAAATAACGTCTCATTTTTACGTCAAAATCATGTTAAATTATATATTAAAAATGTAAAAGACAAGTCTTGATATTAATGTATGTGAGAAAGAAACTAGTAGATAGAGATACAGTTGATGATATAAAAGTGTACTTAGCAATACCCATTAAATGAGTGAGCCACATAAGTCTATGGTAAACTAGTAATTTTCTTCATGATCATTTACTACAATGAAATGGATCTCTTATAACATAAATCTTCTTTAAAAGTACTTAATGAGGCTTTAATCTATAAGATGAAAAAAGGGTCCTAATTTAAACATGTTACTTTAAGTTGTTAAAATGAAATTAGATTACTTAATAATATCTATCTACAACGTTGGACAACCTAATAGAACAAAAAAATTCGTTTATTACGCTTTTTATATCATATCTGAAAAAAAAAAAATACCCTTTATATGAAAGACAAATAAAATATTTTTCAAAAGATCATATAGAAAAGTTAATAAAACGTTTTTACTTATCGTGTCAAATTAGGTTGTTCAACTGTCGATCGAACTTTGTTAGGTGCTTATAACAATTTACTGTAACACTTTTACAGTTCACACACAATTCTTGCTCCTATAAAATTATTCTGAGCTTTGTGTATGTGTTTACAATTTGTAATCGATAATTGTGATTGTTACTTTTGTTGGTACACTTTTCACTTAATTTGATAATTGACAAATGTTTTGAATGTGTTTTTAGTATCGTTGAGTATAAAGATACGTTTTTTTTATTAACCTGGATATCCAACCCGTTATGCGAGCCGACTAATCTCAGGGCAACCACCTATTTTGCAGATAGTCCAGAGTTACCGCATTTGAACCTCCGTGACCACAAGAAGATTTTTATTCCTCCTTGGATTTGAACCTGGGACCTCTAGGTACTTTTGACATTTGGAGTCAAGTTCAAACCAATCAGGCACCACCTTTGTGGTTTAAAAAGATACGTTTTAACGTCATAAAGATGTGACAAAAGAGGTAAAATCATAATGTTCAAATTTCTTAAGAATGTTTTCAATTAAATGCGGTCAAGACAAAGTAATAAAGTGTTAAAATTTGTCATCTCGATTTCTAGAGATGGGCATAGATAAGTTTGAAACCAGTCTATTAATCTGGTCTCCTGAATAATATATCTGTAAGAATAAATATGTAAATGCATAAAGGCTATATAATCCTTAATATTTATTGTAAATAGAACGTGAAAGATCCTATTGGATTGAGTCACCAAATCATATTCACATGGTATCATAGCTTAGGTCTCTCTAAATTTTTAAAACCCTAAATTAAGCTTCTACACTACTAATTGATCCTCTGGCTAACCACCACATTCTACCCTCTAACATTGCGTCTATACCGATGAAATCTCTTTGTCGGTTAACAGCATGACACCAGGAACACTGCCCCCATTCAATGTATAACCAAACATTGTCAATGTTGTCCAAAATGGTCGGTCCAGGTTTAGGCTTTGTACCAATTAAGGACCAAATGGTAAATCTCGGTCCGAGATAGGTCCTAGCCTTGTCTAGTCATGGTGTGATCCATTTGGTCTGTTTTCTTAATTCTTATAGTATACAATGTATTATATACTTCATTAGATGTTGAATACATAATTAATTTCATGTAACACGTCAACTTCACCGGGTTGTCTTTTTGATGGTTTATGGTCATATTTTATGCTATATATTCATTAATCTGATTAGATTCTATAAATTTTCAGAATTTACTATATATGTCTTTAAAAAGAATGTTGCTAAAGTTAAAAAAAAAAAAGGTTTTAAATTTTTTGTTAAAGTAAACAAATTTAGCACATAATTTAGAAAAAATAAATCATATTCTTAATTTTAGAAAATATGTCGGACATGTTCTAAAATAGTTTAATAATTTAATACTAAAATGAGAGCTTTCATTTAAAAACTGATGTATCATGGGTTATTTTACATGATTTCTTTCCATATATGGATTGGATTTAATGTATTGATCAACATATATTTGTTAAATGATACAAACATTTTTTATGTGTCTGTGAACAAAAAATTATAACTAAAAAGTTTATATTGTAAACTTTAAACAATCATATTGTAAAACAAATATATGTTAATTAATATATTAAATTTCAGCTTTAAATAAAAAAAATCATATGAAACAATCTCACAATATATGAATTTATCGTTTGATTATACTTAGTTGGATTAGATTAGGTTGAATCTTACTATAGTTTTCTCTTCTTTATGTAAAATAATAACTATTTAAAATAAAATAATTCAGAAATTAACAAATTTTTTAATATTATAAGAGTTTTTAACCTTAAATTTATCGATTATTTGACAATTGCTGAATGATTTAATACAAAATGATTAAGTGATCAAAATGATTAATATGCTCTCATGATATAGTACAAAATAAAATATAATATTTGATAATTGTTTACAATGAAATTAGTGCACTTAATGGTTAAGGAAGACTTATGATACAAAATCATTAAGAGAGTTTTAGAATTACTAAAAGCCAAATTTTTTTTTTGTCAAACAAAATGCACCTTTTAACGATTCAAAGATTACCTCTTAATAAAACTATTAAAAAATAAATAAACAATCTCTTAATCGGATTTTTAACCTTTAATAATTTTGTTTTAAAATTAAAATACATGATTTTCTTCACAAAAATATATAAAAGTGAAACGGAAAACAATGTGATGACGTAAGCAAGACTTTAATTTTTTGTTGGAGAAAAGCGATGAAATGTGGACCGTTGGATGGGAATATTTAATGTTATCAAGGTGCGGTGGGTGAGATATCCCATTCCCAACATAATAAACCCCTCACCCTTCTGAAAAGCGTTTCACATTCACACTCTCCTACTGCCCACACTCTCATGTTATCATTCCACCCCCTTCACTTTTACTTAATTACATTTTCACCCTCAACTTTTAGATATTACACGTTTCATGCCTCTAATATTTTAATGAGTCTTTCTACCCATAACTAAATACTTAGCAACGTATTTTAGTAAGATAAAAATGACTTTCTTTTGGTATTTTCACAAATACTTCTATAAATATAAAATAAACAAATATTTTCTCTGAGTAACGGTGCAAAAAGATTGAAACCAAATAATCTATCTGAACGGAATGAAATTTGGATTAATCGAATAAGAATGTAATGCTGCTCAAACCGAATGACCTCAAATTTTTATTTGGTTTAACTAATTAACGAACCGAATGAACTGAAAATCAAATCCCTAAGAGCGATTAAACCAAACCTTAATCGTTTCGATTGTCTGGTAGCGAGGAAAAAGTTGGAAAACCGAGTAAAAGCGAACCCAATAACTCGAGAGCTGATTTTAACCGACCGAATAACACCCATATTAGTAAGTCATTATATCCTATCTAAATGTAGAGTCTAGACAGTGGCCAATCTATACAAAGGCTATATAAGGGATTCAGTGCCACCGCTCAATTGTCTCAAAATAGTGGATAAATATTTTTTTTGATTAACCTGGATATTTAACCCGCTATGCGAGCCGACTAATCCAGGACGATCACCTGCTTTGCAGATAGCCCGAAGTCACTGCATTTGAACCTCTGTGGCCACAAGGGGATTTTTTATTCCTCATTGGATTTGAACCTGGAACCTCCTGGTACTTTTAACCTTTGGAGCCAAACTCAAACCAATCAGACACCGCCCTTATGGTTCGGATAAAGATTTACGACTCTTAAATGTGTCACCATTGTGATCTGACATGTACCACCACCAGGTATCGTTACCATAAATTTGAGAGACTAAAACAACACATCTAATCTTAAATTTGGGACTTGATAGTTAACAATTGTGTAGCACAAAAACCCTAATCGTAAAATGTTGAAATTGAATTTGATTTTTTTTGATGT